CCGACTGCTCACACACACACACACACAGAGAGACACACACACAGACACACACACAGACACAGACACAGACACAGAGACACAGACAGACAGACAGACACACAAACACACACACAGACACAGACACGCGCACACACAGACAGACAGACAGACACACAAACACACACACAGACACAGACACGCGCACACACAGACAGACAGACAGACACACAAACACACACACAGACACAGACACGCGCACACACAGACAGACAGACAGACACACAAACACACACACAGACACAGACACGCGCACACACACACAGACAGACAGACACACACACACACATCCCCACAGACACAGACACACACACACACACACACACACACAGACACACACACACACACACTCGTGTTCATCAGTCCGTCACATGTGGGTGATCTGTGTGCATGTTTTTACATAATTATTCTCACTCAGGCTCATGTATGACAGATAAATGAATGATGAAACCGCTTCAGTAATGTGGAAATATGAGAAAATGAGCAACAGAAGAACAACAGAGACATCTGCTGGTGAGATGTTACAAATGAATAATAAAAAAACATGCACTGTTTTTATCAACATCAAGATATAAGGGTTAAAATGTGTATTTATATAAGAGAATGTTTCTCAAAATTTCTTAAATAATTTCTTTCATATTTTTGATCCAATAACAATACTCCTAATAACTGTAAACAATATATATATATAATTTTTTTTATTTTTATGTGTGTGTGTTCAGTATAAATAAATATAAATATTAATTAATTAATTAATCTCAAATTGGCTAAATATCCACCAAAATAATCTACTGGGCCTAAATATCAGTCTGTCTTTAATCGTAATACAAGTGACAGGTTCACAAATAAAAAATAAAATAGATTTTAGCATAAAATGTACATATTTGCATAAAACAAATTTCTTAATAATTTTAACAATTTAATTTTAATAAAAAAAAAAATACAATCTAATAATATTCTTACTTTGTGTATTAAAACATTTTTATTATAAATATACATTTTCAATTTAAGGTTAATATTTATATAATAGAAAGTGTATGCATCGAGATGCAATAGATACTGGCCATAATATTTTAATATTTCTTTATAATTGTATTTAGATCAAAGAGTAACAATAGTCCTGTTAACCCTTCAGTGCATTAAATTGATTGGGAAAAATCTGTAAATATTTTTTAACGCACTGAAGGGTTAACAGGACTATTGTTACTTACATCTATAAAAAAAAAAATTGCATTTATTTATTAGCCCCCCCCCCCATTTAAAGTTAAAAGATTAAGTGTATGCATTGAAATGCAATATATACCGGCCATCATATTTTCAATATTTTCTTTATTTTGCTGCTTTAACTCTTCAGTGTCCATTAAAGGCAATTAATCTCAAAATGACTAAATATCCATCAGCTGGGCCAAAATATCAATCTGTCCACAATGGGTTCACAAAAGAAAAGCAGAAGAATTGATTTTGGGCTAAAACGTACATACTTGTTTCGGATCTTAAGGCCAACACCTCTGTTTAATCATGAGTGTGTCTCGTCAGTTAACCAGCTGTTAAATGCATGAGTCCCGGGAGTGCCGTACCTTGAAGTGTTTGTCTCTGATGCGTGTCATGTTCATGAGCATGACTCCGGAGTTGACGCCGGTCTTGCCGTAGTACGGGTGTCGAGCGAAGCGATTGTACCAGCCGATGCGCGGCTCCTCGTGCTCCGGGGCCATCGCTGCCACCTGACTGCGGTTAAACCGGGACAGAAAGCTCCAGACGTCCTCCACCGGCCGCAGGAACAGCACATCCGTGTCCACGTACAGCACAGAGTCCACCTGCTTCAAAATCAGCTGAGAGAGCCACTTCAGGCACTTAGAGGGATGGGTGTGCTTTCAATTTAATCAATTCTGATTCCAAATATGAAGTCAAACATATTTATTCCGTGTCTCATTTTGCAAAACATTTAATTGCTGCTGAATACCATGAACAAAAAAACTCGATTTAGAGCTGTTTGCGAGCAAAATAGAGCTGCACCGTTCTGGATAAACTGAGACTTGTTCTCAGGCACTTAGAGGGATGGGTGTGCTTTCAATTTAATCAATTCTCATTCCAAACATGAAGTCAAACATATTTATTCCGTGTCTCTTTTTGCAAAACATTTAATTGCTGCTGAATACCATTAAGCCAGTACATGTCCAGGCCCGTCTGAAGTTTGCTAGAGAGCATTTGGATGATCCAGAAGAGGATTGGGAGAATGTCATATGGTCAGATGAAACCAAAATATAACTTTTTGGTAAAAACTCAACTTGTCGTGTTTGGAGGAGAAAGAATGCTGAGTTGCATCCAAAGAACACCATACCTACTGTGAAGCATGGGGGTGGAAACATCATGCTTTGGGGCTGTTTTTCTGCAAAGGGACCAGGACGACTGATCTGTGTAAACGAAAGAATGAATGGGGCCATGTATCGTGAGATTTTGAGTGAAAACCTCCTTCCATCAGCAAGGGCATTGAAGATGAAATGTGGCTGGGTCTTTCAGCATGACAATGATCCCAAACACACCGGCCGGGCAATGAAGGAGTGGCTTCGTAAGAAGCATTTCAAGGTCCTGGAGTGGCCTAGCCAGTCTCCAGATCTCAACCCCATAGAAAATCTTTGGAGGGTGTTGAAAATCCGTGTTGCCCAGCGACAGCCCCAAAACATTACTGCTCTTGAGGAATGGGCCAAAATACCAGCAACAGTGTGTGACAACCTTGTGAAGACTTACAGAAAACGTTTGACGTCTGTCATTGCCAACAAAGGGTATATTATAACAAAGTATTGAGATGAAATTTTGTTATTGACCAAATACTTATTTTCCACCATAATTTGCAAATAAATTCTTTAAAAATCCTACAATGTGATTTTCTGGATTTTTTTTCTCATTTTGTCTCTCATAGTTGAGGTATACCTATGATGAAAATTACAGGCCTCTCTCATCTTTTTAAGTGGGAGAACTTGCACAATTGGTGGCTGACTAAATACTTTTTTCCCCACTGTATATATATATATATTTTTTTTTTTTGAAAGATAGTGTATACATTGAGATGCAATAGGTACTGGTCATAATATTTTAATATTTGAGGTTTTTCATCATTTTATGGCTGTATTGAAATTATTCTGCTGTTTTGACATATTTGGGAAATGTCTTAATTTATTTAATAATTTTATTAGATCCAAGGAATAACAATCCTGTTAACTCTTTAGTGCATTTATTTATTAGCCCCCCCCCCCATTTAAAGTTAAAAGATTAAGTGTATGCATTGAAATGCAATATATACCGGCCATCATATTTTCAATATTTTCTTTATTTTGCTGCTTTAACTCTTCAGTGTCCATTAAAGGCAATTAATCTCAAAATGACTAAATATCCATCAGCTGGGCCAAAATATCAATCTGTCCACAATGGGTTCACAAAAGAAAAGCAGAAGAATTGATTTTGGGCTAAAACGTACATACTTGTTTCGGATCTTAAGGCCAACACCTCTGTTTAATCATGAGTGTGTCTCGTCAGTTAACCAGCTGTTAAATGCATGAGTCCCGGGAGTGCCGTACCTTGAAGTGTTTGTCTCTGATGCGTGTCATGTTCATGAGCATGACTCCGGAGTTGACGCCGGTCTTGCCGTAGTACGGGTGTCGAGCGAAGCGATTGTACCAGCCGATGCGCGGCTCCTCGTGCTCCGGGGCCATCGCTGCCACCTGACTGCGGTTAAACCGGGACAGAAAGCTCCAGACGTCCTCCACCGGCCGCAGGAACAGCACATCCGTGTCCACGTACAGCACAGAGTCCACCTGCTTCAAAATCAGCTGAGAGAGCCACTTCAGGCACTTAGAGGGATGGGTGTGCTTTCAATTTAATCAATTCTGATTCCAAATATGAAGTCAAACATATTTATTCCGTGTCTCATTTTGCAAAACATTTAATTGCTGCTGAATACCATGAACAAAAAAACTCGATTTAGAGCTGTTTGCGAGCAAAATAGAGCTGCACCGTTCTGGATAAACTGAGACTTGTTCTCTCACAATTCTGAAGGAAAAAAAATATCAGACAACTAAACTAAATCTCATGGAATTTATGAATGGAATGATTCAAAGACTCACTGAAGATTCACTCGTTTCATTACTGGCTGAATCAGTGTGTTTGAACGAATCTCTTGAATGAATGATTCAAAGACTCACTGAAGATTCACTCGGTTCATTACTGGATGAATCAGTGTGTTTGAACGAATCTCTTGAATGAAAGATTCAATGACTCACTGAAGATTCACTCGGTTCATTAATGGATGAATCAGTGTGTTTGAACGAATCTCTTGAATGAATTAATCAAAGACTCAATGAAGACTCACTCGTTTCATTACTGGATGAATCAGTGTGTTTGAACGAATCTCTTGAATGAATTAATCAAAGACTCAATGAAGACTCACTCGTTTCATTACTGGATGAATCAGTGTGTTTGAATGAATCTCTTGAACGAATTAATCAAAGACTCACTGCAGATTCACTCGTTTCAATACTGGATGAATCAGTGTGTTTGAACGAATCTCTTGAACGAATGATTCAAAGACTCACTGCAGATTCACTCGTTTCATTACTGGATGAATCAGTGTGTTTGAACGAATCTCTTGAATGAATGATTCAATTCCGTGTCTCTTTTTGCAAAACATTTAATTGCTGCTGAATACCATGAACAAAAATGAGCCGGCTGCATAAAAACTGGACTCGATTTAGAGCTGTTTGCGTGCAAAATATAGCTGCACTGTTCTGGATAAACAGCCTTTTTTTATTTTATTTATTTATTTATTTTTTTTAAATGGGAGGTCGTAGTTCTCACAATTCTGAAGGAAAAAAAATATCAGACAACTAAACTAAATCTCATGGAATTTATGAATGGAATGATTCAAAGACTCACTGAAGATTCACTCGGTTCATTACTGGATGAATCAGTGTTTTTGAACGAATCTCTTGAATGAATGATTCAAAGACAAATGCATATATATATATATTACAAAAAAAAAAAAAAGTACTTGATTCCCAACCCTAGTCACTTATTACACTTCAAAGACCTTACACACCTACTTTTTATCATATATATATATATATATATATATATTAAATACCTCATAAAACAGCTTAAATCATCTGGATTCAGGCAGATTAACAGAATAGAAACAGCTGATGTGTGAAAGTGTGCAAGCAATGCATTTCTGCTTAATATCTATCATTAAATACATAATATACACACAATAACATGGTTTCTGGGTTATTCAGCATTTCCAGTAACAGCTATACATCATAAAACGATGATCAGAAGAGAGTTATTCACATTTACAGGCAAAGAGAGATTTATATATAGCACACAAAATGAACTCAAACCTAAAAGCATAGCAAAGAAAACCTGCTTAAATCATTTGAATTCCGGCAGATTTACTGAACAGAAACATTCACTTGTCATTAACATACATCAACTACATTTTCATTATTTTATGTTGCATAAATAAAAAGATATATCACGAAAGACTGACGGCGTCTCTCGCTCGGTTCAGATACTCACGGGAAGGAAGAGTCTCTGTGAAGCGCAGGGTTTGAAGAGTCTCTTCCACTCGCTGGCGCTATCGCTGGGGAAGCTTATGGGATAAACGCTGTAGTTGACCTTGGAGCGAAACCTCTGCGGCCACGACTCCAGCTGCACGACACAGACGGGAGTTCATGACTGGTTCTCTCAGATTGGTGTGCAGAGGAAAAACTCTGAGCCGTTTGAGGATATTCACTATATATCTTGATCTACACCGCTAACAAATAAGAACGCTTCGCTTTAAATGCAGAAATTGTTACTTGTGAATGTCTCAAAACTTTAACGTTTTAAAAATGTTTCTTCTTGGTCATTTGAACGTTACACGAACATTCCATTTCATCATCTTGCAAACATTATGTGAACGTTACTTTTGAATGTTCTCTGAAACAAGTAGCAACATTTAAAAACATTAGACGGATGTCTAACTAATTTTTCTTTTTTAAATCTGTTCCATGAATGTTGTAAATATAATGATTTGTGCTAATGTTTTGAGAACATTAAAGACCAGATAGCCTTGAACAACCACTCTATTTATGCATTTATGCTACCGTTTTTGTTCATAACTTTGCCAGAACGTTGTTAGCTGTTAGCCGAGTACGTTTTTGCGCTGACATTTTTTTAGTGCAAGTAAAGGTTTAATCAAGTTTTCCACAAAACGAACACAAGAAAGAAATATAGCCTATTTAATCATTTCCATTTGCATGCATCAGTAAAATAGCAATTCTCACATTGTTCCTAAAACATTTTAAAAGCCACTCTGTGAACACATGTTTGAGTCAGAGGTTTTAAACGTACCAGTTTACTCTAAAACAGTTAAGTTTGAATCACAAAAGCTATTAATCTCTGTTATTTCCAATAAGGTGTCGAGTTATTTATTTACTGTATTGCATCATGTTTGTAATTTCTGTATTTTAAATCTACTTCCTGTTTCGTAGCGCTTTGGGTATGAGAAAAGTGCATTATAAATGCAATGCACTTTTTTAACGTCCTCTAAAAGTGTTGCTTAATTTATGTTTCGCCCCACCATGACTATACAGCGGATACTCCTCATACACGTGCTCACCGCCTGTCTGAAGCCGGCATGGAGGTCGTCTTCCGCGAAAATGTGAAAGCGCAAGCGTCTGTGGCTGAAGAGAACCGCAGATTTCAGCATGATGAGCGTTTCCTCCAGTCTGGAGCCGCAGGCCACCACCGCCAGCTCGACCGGCTCCAGACGCTCCGGATCCCGAGGAGCGGACCTGAGCGGGACACAGACACAGCAGCAGGATCAGTGAAGAACTACAGCTTTACAGCAGCTGGTCCTGCAAACTCCATCCAGCAGACACGTCAACACTACAGCCATATAACCTGGAATACACACTAACAGTGAGCGCTCAACAGCTCAACATCAAACCCCAGAGACAGACGGATCTAGAGCTGAAGGTGTGTACCTAAGAGCCGAGTCTTTTGGGCACACAGCATCGCTGATTCTCCAGTACGGCTCCCAGAGAGTGACAGAGCCTGAGTTACACCTGACGAGAGACACACAGGCTCTACATCAACACACACACACACACACACACACACACACACACACACGAGAGACACACAGGCTCTACAGCAACACACACACACACACACACACACACACACACACACAC